TTCCACACGCCTCCACCCCCTTCACGCCCCCCTCCGCACTCCTCCGCACCTGTTTCCCACAATCCACAGACTCCACACCCCTGCACATCAGTCGGGACACCTTTTTCCCACGTCTTCACACCCGTGCACACCCCTTCAGACCCCTTATGGCGCACCACAGGCCTGTCTCTAACCCTCATGTTTATCCTCCCTCGTTATGCTTCCAAAAATAAGGGGTCTGTGTACACCCGCTCGGCCGCCGGTTGTATATCGCGGGGATATCTGGACGTAGTAGTGGGGCAAGATACATAGGCGGGCGTATCTTGACATAGGAGGGTGGCTAGATACAGTCACCCGACGTTTTCACATTCGGCCAGCGGAGAAATGAGCCCCACGGCTGTGTGGGTGATGAGAAAGAGAGTTTATTCGAATACATTGATTGGTTGGCACGTCGTGGCACATGGTTGTGTGGGCTGACAATTAAGCAGGGGGAGAAATTAGTGTTTAATTGCTGCGTGGGATGTGTTGCTTGATTGGTTGGTTGATTGGTTGGTTGATTGGTTGACGAGCAAGAGGTGATTGATGGCCACGTGGCACATGGTTGTGTGGACTTACAACCTAGGCTGTTTGTCCGCCCGGCTGGGCAACCCACTTGTGCCCGGATACGCGCTCGTGTGCCCGGCCGGGCATTAACCCTGGACCCTGCCCAGAGTTCATGCCCGGCCGGGCATGAACTCCAGGCAGGGTTCCTGGCAGCCCCAGTGTGCCAAAGGGAAAAGAAAAAATAAACTCCATAAAAAAATATGTTGTATACAGTTGCAATGTAAATGAGTTAATGAGTTTTGGCGGAGGGTTACCTGAGAATTCCCCGCGGAATCGAAGATATAAAAATAAAAACAACAAAACCAGACGAAGGCACCTTTCTCTAAACCCCTTTAGCCCCCCGAAAAGCAATTGGGAAAAGTTGTACCCCACTCCCCTCCTCCTTGACAACCAAGATTCGAAAAAAGAAAGGAGCCCGGATTTGGGCTCCTCTGGCGATGGGCGGAGGGTTACCTCAGAATTCCCCAGGGGTGCCTTCGTCTGGTTTACCTCAGAATTCTTCTGGTTTACCTCAGAACTCGTCTGGTTTACCTCAGAATCGAAGATATAAAAATAAAAACAACAAAACCAGACGAAGGCTCCTCTGGCGATGGGCGGAGGGTTACCTCAGAATTCCACGGGGGTGCCTCAGAATTCCCCGGGGGTGCACGCCCGGGGGTGCCAAGTAGCCTAGCTGACAACTTCGCAGGGGGAGACAGACTAATGTTTACTTGCTTCATGGCATGCGTTGCTTGACTCGTTGGTTTCAATCAATCAATCAATCAATCAATCGATCACCGCAAAGCTGTTGCTTGATTGGTTGATTGGCTGACGAGCAGGAAGTGGTTGGTGCTACGTGGCACATGGTTGTCTGCGAACTGACGACGAAGCAGTGGGGGAAAGAGATTGATCGTTGATTGCTGCGGTGACTTGCGTTGTTTGATTGGTTGTTTGATTGGTTGATTGATTGGTTGATTGATTGGTTGATTGATTGGTTGTTTGATTGGTTGTTTGATTGATTGATTGACGAGCAGGAGGCCTTCAAGAAGGCGATGACGCGGGAGCTTCCTTTGGATGAGAAAGCATCTACCGCCATATTCGATGGCATTGGAAAGGACGTTAAGGTACGAGCAAAGCTATCTCGAAGAGAGCAATCAAATCAAATTCAAATTTGAATAAAGAAAAAAAGAATCATCGTGAAAAGGGCGTAAGCTAGTCAAGCAATCCAGAAGCGAAACATTATCTATTCATTTGTTCCCGTGCAATGAAGGGTGGACCCCATTTCCTCCATCTTCCCTCTCCCCCCCCCCCCCCCCCTCTGCCCGCAACCGCCGCTTGCAGCCCCAACCGTAATGGAAGGGAGAAATGCACAGTCCAGACGTAGATTTTGCTTTTTATACTGTTCGTCATTTTATGTTTATGTGTGACGTGAAAGAGTGGGGGGGGGAAAAAACAGAGTGGAAAAGAGATGTGTATTGCAGAATAACACAGACGAATGAAATGAGGCACCCTTGTCGCTGTCCCCACCATGTCACCGCAGCAACGTTTATCCTGATGGTTATCCATAAGCGTAAAGGATTTGAACCTCCGATCTGTTTCATCATCAGCAGTCAGTTCCATGTGTGTATAGTAAACCATTCGGCCACGAGGCTGCAATAATGTGGATGCCGAGAAGGGTGTTTCGGGAAATTGCTAGCGACGCCACGTTACTGTAGCCCTCCCAACTCCGTCATCAAATCCTACATTCCCATCATCAAATCCTACACATCCTATCTTGTCAAAAAATGAATTTTACGTCTAGCACAATAACACAGTCTGCCAGCCATCTCCCAGAGGACCTGCCAGCTGTCTGCCAGCTGTTTACGACAGGATTTGCCAGTTGTCTGCCAGCTGTTTACCACAGGATTTGCCAGCTGTCTGCCAGCTGTTTACCAGAGGAATTGCCAGCTGTCTGCCAGCTGGATCTGCCAGCTGTGTGCTAGAGGACCATAACTGCTAACAGCTGCCTTCTTGACACAGAAAGAAGTCTTGGAAATTCTGTCGATACTCCACTATATATTCAAATAGCTTCTTCTTTCTCCGATCTGGTGATCGTCAACTAGGACAAGACTCCGTGGGACAAGACTCCGTGAGACAAGTTTGTGTGACGGCTCTGTGGGACAACTTCCTGTGGGGTAAGTCTGTGTGGGACTAGTCTCAGTGGGGCAATTCTCTGTGGGACAACCGTCTCTTGGTCCTATTTCTGTCTTCTTCCCTGAATAGAACATACGGTCATTATAGCTGTAGTTGGGGCGGCTTTCAGTCTAGACACAGCAATCGTGACCCTGTGTTCTATCCGGTAGAAGACGGTAGTCTGGTGCTGGTACGCAGAGAGTTTTCCTCGTGTTCCTCTGCTCTCAAAACCCTAATCACTATGCCCCCCGGCTTCCATGTGGTCCTCAACTCTCGCTCGTTCTACTGCAGGCGTTTAATATATACCAGTGCTACCTTAGAAATGAGCAAGAGTGCCCTCTGATACTCCTAGGCAGAGAGTTGTCTATGTGTTCCTTTGCTTTCAAACCCTAAGCACTATGCATCCCGGCTTCGACGTGGTCCTCGTCGCTCGTTCCAGTTCAGGGATTTTATGAATACCAGTGCGTCCTTTAGAATGAGCAAGAGTGCCGTCGTTGCGGAGGATGCAACCTTAGAACACCAAAGTGGCCAGCTTCTGAGCATTTGCTGTCCGAGAAGGCGTGAGCTGTGATTGGCTCCTCCTCTTCTTTCTACGCATGGAGTGTGGATAGCGGTAGGCAGCGCTGTACATGTGTGTTGTTGATATGTTGGCCCTGGAGCCGGAACTGGATCTGAAACCCGAACTGGAACATGAACCAAAACCAGAATCGGAACTGGAATCGGATCTGGAACTGGAGCCAGAACTGGAAGCGGAAATGGAACCAGATTGGAACTGGGACTTCAACTGGAACCGGAACTGGAATAAGAGCTGGAATAAGAACTGGAACAAGAGCTGGAACTGGAACCAGAACGGCTAAGAACTAGAACGACCATCTTCACCCGAAATAGAATGCCAGGTCATTATAGCTGTATTTGGCACAACTTTCAGTCCAGACACAGCAATAATGACCGGGCGTTCTACTCGGGTGAAGACGGTATTAACCCTGGAATTGGAACCGGAACGATTAAGAACTGGAACTGATAACCGGAACCGGAACTGATAATGGAACTGGAACTGGAATAAGAACTGGAACTGGAACTGGAACTGGAATAAGAACTGGAACTGGAACTGGAACTGGAACTGGAATAAGAACTGGAACTGGAATAAGAACTGGAACTGGAACTGTAATTGCAACTGTAACGAAGTGGAACTGGACCTGCAACTGGAACCCATGAAATTGGGACCGAAACCGGAACTGGAGCTGGAACTGGAACCCACAAAACTGGAACTAAAACGCACGAAACTGGAACCAGAACTGAAATGCGTGAAACTGGAACCAGAAGTGGAACCCAGAGACTGCTATGGAATGAAACCTTTCCGGAGGGGAAAATGACATGAAATTTTGTGTGCTTTTTGGATGAGGCTGGGGAGGATCTTTCCGGTTCTGCTGGCCACTCAGGGCATGCTCACACTAGGGCTTTTGGGATGTATCTCTGCAATTGCAGTCAGATTCCTTCCGACAAGTCCTCATGTGAGTACGACTACTTTGTCTATCATTGGGCTGGCATGGCATCAGTACAGCCAAAGACATCGTTTCTTTGGGCGAAGAACATGACTTGCAGATGTATCCCTCTCCACTTATACGGTCGACCGACATTCTATTCTATAGTCTCTAATTTAATTTTATTGGCAATGAGACGGTGTACAAGGGCATTGTTGCTTGCCTCTCTACTTGCGAAGCAGCCAGCAACCTCGTATTTATGGGCCCATGAACAAAACAAGAACATACAGAATGAAAAACAAATGGTTATTTCAGATTTTTGCTTCTATGGACGCTGCAGAGCTTTGGCAATATGGATTTCAAGATGAAGCCACTCCTATGATGCAAGGAATTAATGAGTTCGGCCAGATCGCAGATGTCGATTGCAGGGCGGCTCTCTCCAACTCTGCAACACCGCGTCTCAAGCTGGCCCAGGCCAAGGGTGTGAGCTGCATGTCGCGTGGCATGCCTACCATCTTCACCCGAAGAGAACGCGTGGTCATTATGGCTGCACCTGGACTGAAAATCGCCCAAAATACTGTTCGGGTGGAAGGCGGTAGTGATAGGCCATGCCTGAAAGCTAGAATGGACTCGAGGACCTTGAAAGCAGGTGGAAGAGAAAGAGGAGGCAGAGATGCAGAGGAGAAAGAGGATAACGACCGGGATGAGGAGTCAAGAGGCCAAAATGAAGACGTGCGGGTTAGTTAGACAGGGAAGAAGTGCTGGTTCTCTTTTCTTTTCTTTTTTTTTTTTTCCTTTTTTTTTTTTGAAACGCCGGTGGTCTTGAGGTGTCTATACATAAGAATTGACCAACCCAAGGTAATTCAGAATCACTTTTTTCCTCATCTGGTTCCATCTTTCAACAGGATTTGAATGCAGGTCTGTTTATCCATCCAGCCACATGGACTTGGTGGTTGTTGTTGTAGCGTCTCTTGCTCTGCATCCTCGTCATGCTTTTCCTTCTCGAATGTTGTGCTATTGATCAGTATTTGAACCCACAGCATGTTTGTTTTGTGTGGATCCAAAAAAAAAAAAAAAAAAAAAACCACAGGTGGAAAAGCTCGGCAGCGAAGAGAACGCTTTCTTGGAGAATGCAGTGAGATCGCTTCTTGACGAGCTTGTGGTATGTTGTTCTGTCACCGCGTTTTTTCAATTGTGCCGTTCCATTTCCTTTGACACGTGGGTCCGGCGGGGGCAGCACTCTCTTTTGGAGTTGGGCTGCTTGATCAACGATGTAATGGTTATTTTGTCTTATTGAATTTGGAGGATTCAAAGCTTATTTTTTTGTCTTCTAAAGTTTGCAGCATTTCTCAATTTGTGTGTGTCATCGTCGACTGTGCAGGGGTGATGCCGCTTAGTCTGCTATGTTTGTAACTTTGGTTCCAATTCTAACGGATGTCCCGGACGACTCTATGACTACTGTGTCCTTGTTGTTGTTGTTGTTGTTGTTGTTGTTGTTGTTCTTCTTCTTCTTCTTCTTCTTCTTCTTCTTACAGTGTGCTTCTCTGTCTTCCTTACTTCTGTCCGTCTTCTTCTTCTTCTTCTTCTTCTTCTTCTTCTTCTTCTTCTTCTTCTTCCAGTATGCTTCTCTGTCTTCCTTACTTCTGTCCTTCTTCTTCTGTCCTTCTTCTTCTTCTTCTTCTTCTTCTTCTTCTTCTTCTTACAGTGAGCTTCTCTGTCTTCCTTTCTTCTTCTTACAGTGTCCTCATCTGTGTTCTTCTACTTCTTCTCCTTCTGCTGCTGCTCCTCTTCGTGCTTGTCCTCAGTTTGTTTTTGTTTTTTCTTTTGCTGTTTGGTGGGGTTTGGCTTATTTCCCAGGAGGGGTAGTGAGTGGTGTCTTAATTGAGAAGTTGAAATGATGTCATACGGTGTCCTCCTCCGTCTTCTTCTTCTTCTCCTTCTGCTGCTGCCGCTCTTCTTCGTCCTTGTCCTCAGTTTGTTTTTGTTTTTTCTTTTTCTGTTTGCTGGGGTTCGCTTTATTTTCCAGGAGGGGTAGTGGTGGCTTAAGAAGCAGTTCAATTTAATGATGGAACGAGAACAGTCAGAGTGACGAAAAGAATCAGTTAAGTGGCTATATTGACCCATACATCATAATGTCACGAAGGGGGGGG